GCTGAAAACGGGTTTCAGGTTATAAAATGTAGCATCGTCTAACAATGATGAGATCAGGATGTTTCTTTAAAGCAAATATCCAGTAACTTGGATGCACTGTCACTAAAAAGATGTTCAGCAGTTTAGTCCAAAACGTATATACAGACAGATACAGAAAATAAGTTTGAAGGCTCAGTATCACAAGGAAATGTAAAGTTTACCTTTAAGGGGTCCAGTCAGACCACACAAATATTAAGCAATGTACCAGACAAAAATATATTGTGGTATACCTGCATACAGTATGTTACAGTACTGGATTTCATATTAGTGTCATGCAGGAGCATAGTGAGTGTTTCTGCCCAATCAAAGTACAAAGCAGCCCTTGTAGAGAGGGGCTGGCATGCTTCTATCTACAGCATTTGGTACAGTAGTAGGTGATAGAAAATGCACTTCTTAAGGCAAACATTTTCAGGAAGTCCTTCATATTTGCCACCAGGGAGGCAAATAATAATAATAATATTGTAATAATTAAAAAGGTTGATTCAGAAAAAGACATCAATAAGCTTAAACAGCTTTAAATACAGTCCTTCAAAGGCATGTGTTCATCCACAAAAAAAAGACTGGGAATCCTCCTCATGGATGATGAAAATGTGCCACCTAGCAGCATCTGTAATGTTCACAGTTCTACATTTAAAGGATGTTTTTTCACTTGGTTAAACAGAATCTCCTATTGCATAATTCAGGAGTTGATACTGTTGATTATCCTGTGTCGAGGAGGGTGACGCACAAAGAATCCGTACACCACCGTGATCACTGGCACACCTTTTAATAACTTATTTGAAATGGTGATTTCATTCAGTAAGGAATTGATACCAAAACGACTCTGAAATGAAGACAGACTTACTATACTAATATCAGGTGTGCTTTTGTTTTGAACTTTTATTACTTCAGTCTTTTTTTCAATTTTCTAACACCTTTTTCAAAGTCAGTGTTCTTGCTTACCCCAAGAAAAGGTTGAGAACAGGAGGAGCGGTGCGTTTTTGTTTGTGTCCATTCAAAGCAACAGCAGGATGAAGAGGTAGAGTGGGAGGAGGAGGTTGTCTATTTGTGAGGTGTAGGCCTCCAACATGGCCACCAGGGAAATAGAGCCAACAATCCATGAGTAGGTGGAGTCCAGATTGATACTCCCATCGAAGATGAGAAACATGGCCACAGCAATTATCTGGGCGAACACAGAGGTCGCTGTCCCCTCCATGGTTTTCTTAGTGCCGGGCCAGCGGATCTCCCCCATGGTGCTGCCAAACACCGATGCCACAGTGTCTCCCACTCCCACAGCCAGCACACCTGCATAAGGCACCAGGCTGCCTGCACCTGGAAGTATCCCCTTAGGGGCACAGGGCCCAGGGAACAGCCATAGGGGCAGAGACATGCCCAGCAGCAGGTAGATGTGGGTCAGGATCAAGGGTCCAGAGTCCCGCTCATCCAGGAACAAGGTGAGTAACTGCCTGAGCAGCTGACCCAGTGGCCTGATCCGAAAGTAACGCACATACTCCAGGAACAAGAAAATCGCCAAGCAAACCACAGATGCCACATGGAGCAGCTGCCTGTCGTATATCAGCCCTGGAACATACGTGGCCACTACAATTAGATGGAAGTACTTCCTGACAACAGTTGAGGCCTGGTGTTTTTTGGACCCTGACTGCCGCTGGTGGTTCTGATGTAATACAACACAGGTGGCCACAACAGCCAGAAACACCCAGTAGCCTAGCAGACAGAGTCGTTTGTCATTTAATGTGAGAAAGTCCAGCAGCCACATGATGGGATGGCGGCCGATGAACAGAGAGAGCCAGGGCATGAGAATTCCCATGCCCAAAACAGCTGTCATCATGTAGAAGAAAAGTGATGACACCCACGTTTCTGACTCCATGAAACAGAAGAGCAGGGCAAAGAAAACACCCAGCAACAGTGAGCCCACCACTATCACCGACAGGAAATAGTTCACTGGATCGCCTTTGACCTCTGCCAGGTTCAGGGAACGCTTGATGAGCTGGTTGACAACGAAACTGATTCCACCGATGATGAGGAGCGCCTCTCCAGGTGTGAAGCAGCGTGGGAGCAGATAAAGCACAATCAGACTGAGATAGACAAAGATCAAAAGTACCTCTAAAACCTCAATGACCTCAGACACGGTCAGGGTCTGTTTTGTCGTGTAGAGAATCACACTGCCTGCCATGCCTGCGATCACACATGTATTTGTAGGCATAGGTCTCGTGATGCCGAGCGCAATCAGGGACAAAAACAGAGCCAGCATCATGCCCGTGATGGTGATCACCATGGACAAGCGCTCAAAATAAACATTCCCTGAGGCAGAGCACTTTTCTCTCAGCACCAGACCTAGCAAGGGCATCACCATGGAGGCCGGGACGATGCCACTATTTGTGGCCGGACGAAACTGGAACACAGCACCCCCAGACCTGAGCAGACGGTCCCATTTGTGCTGTACATAGAAAGCCTGGATGATGAGGGCTATGCTGCACCAGGATTGCTGGTTCCAGACCACCATGTGGACACACAGCACCACTGCCAAAACGACAAGAGACTCCACCAACACTGGGTTGATCTGCATGACTATGAGGTGGAGACTTGCCAGGAGGGAGGAGGGTTGATCTGAACAGACTGTCTGCAACAATGAAGACCGCCTTCTGTCACTTCCTCTTTCTGGCACACTTCATCATTTGGCAGGCATTTTTCACTTGCTGAGGGTGTCTAGAAAAGGGAGAAATATTTATCAGTCAGCTTACCATTCACAATGAAATACAAAACACTATAATATAATATAATAGGCATTTATTAAAGCACTTATGACTGTGTGTATTATCTTGAAAGTTCATGAGCCACCTTGGCTTATCTTGACAGTGAGACCTGAAAGATATTTCCCAGTTCTTTTAACCAGGAACTCAGAGAGACGAGGCGGACCACTTGGATATATAAAAAAATAACCGTGCTGGTTTATTCAAAGGATCACAGGTAAACTTAACATTACACGTCCAGATCTCTTCCACCTCCAATACTGCACGCAGGCAGCCTGGAAGATGAAAAGAGACCCTGAACCCACGATCTCTATACAATTTATCTGGTTTGGGCTAACCCCATTCTACACAGGCACGTCAAACCGTGACGTCACCTGATATGCCAGCTTGCAGCTGACCATAACAGATAGTCAAAACATGAAGCAAATCAATGTGTGTGACTGTTGATTTCGTGGTGTGTATCTAAAAGCATACAGGTCATTCAGGGACATGTCCGAACAGTAAGCCTCGGAAGATATTATGATTAAGATTACGGCTGAACATATCATAATAATAGCAATATTCATCCTGCCTGCAGACTTTTTCTATCTAGTTGTCCTTGGGGCCCACATGCAGCCTGCAGAACTCACGACAATGAACTAAGCATTTAACAGCCTGAGCTGGACATCCTGTCTCCACTAAACTAATACAACAAATATCTAATCAATATCTATCTGACTAAGAAATTACCTAACAGACCTGATCTATACTTTATCTGCTTTTGGCCATGAACTTTGGCCACAGTACACATTCACCCAGTCTGCATGCTCTTTCTACATCAGCTGCAACCTTTGGTTCCTGTGGGGAGTGGAGGTTGGACTAACACTGAACAAGCTCAACACATTCCCATCACATTTGATGACGAAAAGAAAAAAAAAACGACCTAGTTCTTTGTTAGATCCATGCTAACACAGCACAGTGGAACCAGCTAACCCCCACTAAAGACAGAACCGCCTCACTCCAAGTCTAGGATGCTGTAAGCCCGGACAGCTTCAGGCTAATGGCAAAATACAGCTGACGCTACAGAACTAGCAGAACGCCACAGAACACAAACTGCAGGCAGGATGGACCCATAAAATCCAGGTTGACGACAAAGACAAGTGTACATACCACGTATGTGCAGTTGTGGGTGGGGGTATTAATCGGTGCTGTCCGATTTGACAGTTTTCTTGCCTTTGTTAGCTATCGCTCCTCTCAGCTCACACCCAGTAGGAAGGGGCCATATTTGACAGTCGGATCACGTGGTACAAAAAAAAAACTCTTCAAGGCATCGTTCTCTTTCTCCCTCTTTCTTTCTTTCTGTCTTTCTTTCCTTTTTACATCAAATATATTGTTAGGGAATTATGTCACTTAGAAAGTATATACTGTGGATTTAAATCTTTTGCTTATCTGCACTTTTATTTCATAACTAGTTCAATATAAAACATGTAAATAAGTGACACATGGGAGTCAGACATGCTAGCAAACACGAAAATATTCATTATACCTGATTATAGGGGTAGCAAACAGGCAAGTTGAAGTTAAATCTGAGAATGGTGGAAGGAAGACCATTTTATAGATGTCTATGGAAATCGAAATATTATTATTTATCCCCACGGGATGGCAGTAAAGCAACAAGAAGAGCCACAGAAATTGCACGGCAACAACAACGAAGAAGAATCTGCCCATGGCATTAATGACGTCACACGCAACAACCAATCACTTGGCAGGGGCGAAGATGGCGGAATCGGAGATGATTGTCAGGTGGGCAGTTAGCATTAAACTTTTAACCAATGTTTGGGTTTGCTTAAGTAATTTCTAAGATTTTACCGCGGAGGAAACATTGTATGTAATGTGTTTGTTTATTAAGTCCTATCCTCAGTTATATTTATATCTGCCAGTGAGACCTTTGAGCTTTTAACACCACGCTAACGTAACTTAGCTTAGCAAGTGCTAACCGCTAAATATTTGAATGGCTTTTCAGCAGCCTGGTGTGTGCGCCGTATGTCAACAACAGCATATCATCACTGCGAACTCTATGAAATTAGCCTGTTAACTGACTCTGGTCATTTAATAAAACGAGGAGTCTGTGTTTATATTTGTAGTTGAAATGCGTCGCAATAAGCTTCGACAGTCGAAACTAGTTAGTTGTAACAGTGGAAAAGCTAACGCTAGGGTCTGGGCATCAAAGGATAATGAGGTTAGTTTAGATTTTTTGAATGGTAAATACTTAATTTTGCTTTTGCACAGTTTAAAAATGAACCATGAGCCATCACTGAAAACTGAAACTGTCTCAGCCGACTGTCAATATCTAAGTCGTATTAAAAATGTAACACTTAACACTAATATGAACGGACCATCTTCATATTAGGTAGATATGGGAGTGCAACATTAAAGGGAGTTGTTAAAATCCATTACAACCACCTCTAACCAGTACATTACCCGAGAACAAAACCTTTTATTGCTTTATAAATATACCCATTCTTTCCTTAGAAGCTGTCGAGAATTCTGGACCATACTGACGGGTAGATCAGCATTGCGAGAGCCAGTAAGTCTATTTGCTACCAGTTGTCATGTTATCTGTATGAAAGTGTTGCAGCTCTTAAAGCATTTTGTCATTAAGTTACAGTGACACAAGTGATTTGTTCTTGTTGAAATAATTAACAATCACAGGCTCAGATAGAGGCAGAGCTTGACAGACATTGGGACAGACTGTATCAAGGACTCGGTTACTACAAGCCACCCAGGTATAATAATTTTTTTTGCTCCTTGCATTAAATGCACTATTATATGCAACAGCCTAAAGGGTAATTGTCAGCATCACGTGTTGTAGCTCCTCTTCCGCTCAAAAAGTGAAGGAGAAGAAAGATGTTGTACAACCATTGAAGGATTTTGGTCTGAGGATCAGTAAATTCTTGGTAAGAATTGAAAATACCTCTCTTTGTAAAATGCGTGATGAACTATTTTCATTTGACAGTGATGTTTTAATACTTCAATAATGTTACAGGGTCTCGATGAGCAGCAGAGTGTGCAGCTTTTACAGTGCTACCTACAGGAGGATTACAGAGGAACCCGTGATTCATTAAAGGTCTCTGCTGGAATCTGTCTGAAATCATAGCCCAGTTGTACAACATATAAATAAGTACCTGCAATAAGGAGTTTATACAGGAAAAATTATGTTAATAGGTGTATCACCCAGTTTTTAGTGATACTGTATTTTGTTTTAGACTTAGTCCTGCAGTCATTTGTGCAGTTATTGAAGTTCACCCCTTTTACCAGGAGCAAAAACCTCAAATGTTGTGAAATATCTTGGATAACAAAGTCTTCTATACAGGTTGTTCTCAAGGATGAGCGACAGAGTCAGGCACTACTGCTGAAGGTCAGTACAGAGATCTTCTACTTGTTTATACTTGCTTATTTAATCAAGTAAATACAACCCTATGTGGATGTATATTTACAGGTAGCTGACTATTACTATGAAGAGCGCATGTGCCTGCTCAGATGCGTCCTCCTTGTGCTCACATACTTTCAGGATGAACGTCATCCCTACAGGGTGAGAAATCAATGGATTTGGGTCACATCAGATGATTGAATAATGCAGCTTTTATTGTGCACTGCTTATGGAAAAAGTTGTAACATAACTGGATGTGTTTGTTATTTGTAAAGGCTGAGTACTGTAACTGTGTCAATAAACTGGAAAAGGACCTAGTGAGCAACTACCAACCTCAGTTGGAGAATCTTTTCAGAGCAGAAGCACCAACATGGGAAACTCATGGAAACCTCATGGTAACAATTTGCTTCATATGTTCGGTTCATATTTGCAACCTAGATCAAATATAAAACCACATATTAATCACATTTTGTGTCTGACTAAGGTCATAACTGACTGAAGTTTTTGTGAAAGCTTGTAAAATAGTAATTTTTCTTTCCAGACAGAGAGGCAGGTGTCTCGATGGTTCTTGCAGTGTCTCAGAGAACAGTGCCTGCTGCTCGAGATCATCTTCCTCTATTATGCTTACTTTGAGATAAGTCCACCTGACCTGCTGAGCTTCACCAAAATGTTTAAGGAGCAGGGCTTTGGTTTGCGGCAGACCAACAGACACCTAGTCGACAAAAGCATGGACACATTGGTTGACCGCATCGGGTAAGAGTTTGTGTTTATGTGTCTCTCATATATATAAAGTGAGCAGTGCAGAGCACTTCAGGCAGTGTACAGTGGTGTGAAAAAGTGTTTGCCCCCTTACTGATGTCTTATCTTTTTGCATGTTTGTCACACTGTAATGTTTCAGACCATCAAACAAATTTAAATATTAGTCAACGATAACACAAGTAAACACATCATGCAGTTTTTAAATGAAGGTTTTTATTATTAAGGGAAAACAAAATCCAAAACTACAAAGCCCTGTGTGAATAAGTGTTTGCCCCCCCTGTCAAAACATAACTTAACTCTGCCTTAGCAGCAACAACTGCAATCAAGCGTTTTCGATAACTTGCCATGAGTCTGCCACAGCGCTGTGGAGGAATTTTGGCCCACTCATCTTTGCAGAATTGTTGTAAGCCAGCCACATTGGAGGGTTTTCGGGCATGAACTGCCTTTTTAAGGTCATGCCACAGCATCTCAATTGGATTCAGGTCAGGACTTTGACTAGGCCACTCCAAAGTCTTCATTTTGTTTTTCTTCAGCCATTCAGAAGTGGACTTGCTGGTGTGCTTTGGATCATTGTCCTGCTGCAGAACCCAAGTTCGCTTCAGCTTGAGATCACAAACGGATGGCCGGACATTCTCCTTCAGGATATTTTGGTACACAGCAGAATTCAGGGTTCCATTTATCACAGCAAGCAAAAAGAACATAAAGGCTCGTCTCAGTTTTGCCAGAAAACATCTTGATGATCCCCAAGACTTTTGGGATAATACTCTGTGGACAGACGAGACAAAAGTTGAACTTTTTGGAAGGTGTGTGTCCCATTATGTGTGGTGTAAAAGTAACACCGCATTTCAGAAAAAGAACATCATACCAACAGTAAAATATGGTGGTGGTTGTGTGATGGTCTGGGGCTGTTTTGCTGCTTCAGGCCCTGGAAGACTTGCTGTGATAAATGGAACCATGAATTCTGCTGTGTACCAAAATATCCTGAAGGAGAATGTCCGGCCATCCGTTTGTGACCTCAAGCTGAAGCGAACTTGGGTTCTGCAGCAGGACAATGATCCAAAGCACACCAGCAAGTCCACTTCTGAATGGCTGAAGAAAAACAAAATGAAGACTGGAGTGGCCTAGTCAACGTCATGACCTGAATCCAATTGAGATGCTGTGGCATGACCTTAAAAAGGCGGTTCATGCCCGAAAACCCTCCAATGTGGCTGACTTACAACCATTCTGCCAAGATGAGTGGGCCAAAATTCCTCCACAGCGCTGTGGAAGACTCATGGCAAGTTATCGAAAACGCTTGATTGCAGTTGTTGCTGCTAAGGGTGGCCCAACCAGTTATTAGGTTTAGGGGGCAAACACTTGTTCACACAGGGATCTATAGTTTTGGATTTTGTTTTCCCTTAATAATAAAAACCTTCATTTAAAAACTGCATGATGTGTTTACTTGTGTTATCTTTGACTAATATATAAATTTGTTTGATGATCTGAAACATTACAGTGTGACAAACATGCAAAAAGATAAGAAATCAGTAAGGGGGCAAACACTTTTTCACACCACTGTAAATGGGATGTCTGTTAATGGTGTGTAGCTTTGATTTAAAAACTAAAAATGCACAGCCAATGGAGCAGTTTGATTGTATGTAAAAATGGCCAAATAGTCAGCTACTAAGGTTATCAAACATATTTTATGGATGTTGTACTAGGTTTTTTTTTTTTTGAACTGATATTGACAATTCAGAGTTTAAAAATATATGATACATTGGCAAATGTTCATGTTTCTGCATAAATATAAGTAAATTTTTTTTTAATAAACACAACTTTTTGAAGTAAAGTGACCAGGTTATGTACTGAATGGAACGATTTAGATTTGGAAATAAACTTGTCGCTCATCTTGGTAGACAAACTCTGTGTTCTGTAGTTTCCTTGTTATTTAACTGACAACCTACTGTATATGCCAGTGCCTTATCTGTGGTCTTAAATATTTTGTGTGAATCTTCTACCTGCAGATATTTGAGCTCTCTCATCCTGGTTGAGGGAATGGATATAGAGTTCTTGCACAAGTGTGCCCTGGAAGACTGTACAGAGCAGCATGAGATCTGCAAGGCTCCCGAGGTCATCAAGGTATGACTTGAGACAATAGCACGGAGTCCCAGAGCAATACCACTCAACAATACAGGTCGAAAAATAAACAAATGAGCTCAAATAAGGCAAAAACACTGATCCCAACTTCTTCTGGAAAAACATTGTTTTGAGAGAAGGAGCGAGCACATTAGACAACTAGATGAACATCACAAATCCTTAGTGGATTTTATTCTTCCAAACTGCACAAAACACAGACTGAGGGAGTTTTAGGCACCTAAAATAAACCTGCATACTTTCTGTTAGGAAATGGATCAGCTGCTGCTGACGTTCGGTGACATCCCTCATTATGGGCCGGTGCTGCTGGCTTGGGTCCTGCTGAGGCACACGCTTAGACCAGACGAGTCCAGCCCTGTGATCAAGAGGATAGGCAACACGGCCCTGCAGCTGGAGGTTTTCAAGTATCTTTCAACCATGCTGAAAGGCCTTGGAGTCTCAGGGAATAATGTAAGAAGAAAAACACAGGTTATGGTAAAATTAAAGTTCTTTAAAAAAAAAAATGAAGGTGGAATAAATCCTCTCACTTTTCATTAAAGGAAAATAGTATCTCTTTAATGGTTGTTACAGCTACTCAAATCATTTTGGACATTTGGAGAACCCCGTCCCTTTGCTGCTTGCTTTAACCTAAACTACCGATAAATGGTGTTGGATAATAGTGTTTCTCAGATCTTATCCTTTATGCTCAGAGTGACTCTGGTTTTCTCTACCAAGTAGTTAAATAAAACCACATGGGGCCTCAGACTTAAATCAGTCTCTAATGAGATGGCTAGAATGAAGACCATGTGGCAGACGGAAAGCATGTGGTTCTCTGGATCACTTTTATAGTCCAGATCTGAACTAAAGCAGACTTTTAGAAAATGATGCCCCACAGTCTCTGGCTTATAGTTTTTGGGCTGCCAGGCACTGCAGACATCATTCTACAAGTCAACATTATGGGGAGTTTTAAATAGTTCTTGTTACGAGCATTAACTAAACCAAAATGTCCTGGGTTTGGCCTCCGAAAAATAAGTTCCTTTACCAAACCGTCACAGTTTGTTTCTCAGCTTATTGTTTATATTGTTACACTACATTAAAGTTTATCTGTCACTCTGACTCTCCAGTGCACAGCAATCACAGCAAAGATGTGCATCTATGGCCTCCTCTCATTTGTGATCACCTCTTTTGAAGAAGAGAGTTTACAGGTACAGTCTGAGCTCACCTGCCGTTCTCTCAGTCATAATTGTAACCTGTGTTGGTAACTTGTCCTCATCATACTGCATGTGACAGACTGGCGGTGTAGCAACGCAGTGCTCTCACCTGATCGACGCTGCCTGCGAGGTTCTCTCTGCTCCCAGTCTGGCTAAAATCTTTTGGGAAATGGTGAGGAAGAAAAACAGAAGAGGAGAACTCTTGTGGGATAGTGTGAGTGATAACATTTAACAATTCGTTCTGTAACCTAGAAGCCCAACATGGGATTGGGAATGATCCTGGACAGTGCAGCTGGGATGTTTCCTCACAAGATTGGACCACTGTTACAACTTCTAACTGCACTTCTGTCAAACAAGTCAGCTGTCAAAAAGGTAGATGTCACACATGCACAGATTTACAGTTCGGCTCTCTGTTGCCTTATGTAGTTTAACTATGTACTTTGTGTTACAGGTTTACAACTTTTTGGATAAGATGTCCTTCTACACACAAGTTTACAAACATAAACCCAATGACATCATCTCCAAGGATGATGGGACACTGTGGAGGAGACAAACCCCAAAGCTCCTCTACCCTCTCGGTTAGTTTTGTTGGTTATTACTGTGAGATTTGAATATTTAGCGTTTGTCAGTCTGCTGAATTCTTCTTATGCATAAACATAGAAGATGTAATCTCTTGTTTCTTTTGCGTTCACTCTTAACGTTTCCTGTCAACCATCAGGCGCAGGGCAGACTAACCTGTGGATGCCACAGGGAGTGTTTGGCCAGGTGATGATTGGAGGCGAGCAGGGTTACGTGGTGCGCTGGGACTACTCCTACAGCTCCTGGACTCTCTTCACGTGTGAGGTGGAGATGCTGCTGCATGTCGTTTCAACTGCAGGTGCTGAAGTGGTCCTTCATATATTCTCACAAACAGATTAGAGACTCATTTAAAGGATATGATATTCAGTATTTTTGATAGTACCATCAAATCCTATAAAAACCAACTGGTCATATCTTTGTGTTTGCCTGTCTCTCTCACCCCCTTAATTGTCTCTCTTTCTCTGATTTTTCTTGTTGTTAGATGTTATAGCTCACTGTGCACGTGTGAAGCCCATCCTGGATCTGGTGCACAAGTTCATAAGCACAGACTGGAATGTGTCAGATTGTCTGTTGCCTCTTACTTCACGCATCTACATGTTGCTGCAGAGGTGAACTTTACAGAGACGCTCACAGAACTCGAAGTCGATGTTTTGATCTTAAACTAAAAATGGATTTGTCTTATTTGTTTACTGTCTGTTAGGTTAACATCAGTCATTAACCCTCCAGTGGATGTCATTGCCTCCTGTGTGAACTGCCTCTCCGTACTGGCTGCGAGGATGCCTGTGAAGGTGAGTACACTGGGTCCTTTCACAGCGATCAGGAATCTATCCTTGAGTGTTCCTCACACAGCTTGTCTATGTTGTTTGTGTTTTTATCTTCAGGTGTGGTCCAGTCTGCACCACACTGGTTTCCTCCCATTTGCCTCCAGCCCTTTGACCAGTATGGCTCAGTGTGTAAGGTAAAGGGGGAAAAGCTGGTTACTGCCTAGTGTTTTGTCTCACAAGTATCAGAATTAAATTTTTGGGGAAGTAAAAAGTATTAAAATTTGTTTTCTAGTGCTGAGGGGATGAAGGCAGGTAACTATGGCAACCTGCTGGTCCAGATTGAACAGCCCAGGGGGGAGTATGCAGTGACCATCGCCTTCCTTCGTCTCATTACAACCCTGGTTAAGGTAATACATTTTTTTTATACCCACAAAGGTTTTCTATCCAGCATTTATGTAATAGTAATGAACAGTGCCCATGTCTATAATCTGTAGATGTGTTCACCTGCTGCTTATTTCAGGGTCAGCTTGGCAGCACTCAGAACAAAGGCCTGATCCCCTGTGTGTTGCTGGTGCTCAAGGAGATGCTGCCCACCTACCATAAGTGGCGTTACAACACGTATGGCGTCAGGGAGAGGATAGGTAAGGGCAGCTTTCTGACAGTGGGATAAAGGCACTTTTTCTTCCAGACTGGAAAAATGAAACGATAAGCACCGATGGCTCTGTGTTACTGCAGGTTGTCTTATTTTGGAGCTAATCCATGCCATTCTGAATCTGAGCCCAGAGGGGGTGGATCAGGGCAGGTAAGGATAAGTCTGATGGGATTCACATGCACATCTGGCTGTAAATTTAGTCTGCAGAACATAGAACAGTCCTACAAATAGGCTGGTAGGAATAATAACTATGAACCGAACCAATTCTGCAGTGAAACATTTAGAAGCTAGCACCTTGATAATTTGCACAAGTCCCTGACATTATCTGTTCTAGGACAAAACCTGGGTCCATACTAGATGTTACAGCATAGGTTTCTATTATTGATTCTTCTCTTAATATGAAAAACTCAGTTTGATGGTCCACAGCAGCTGACAAAACAATCTCAGCTCCACTTACTTGAGCTGAAACAAATAGTCGATTAATTGACTTGACTCTTAATATATACATTTTCCAGCCATAATAACAATGTACCGCTTCCAGGTTGTCAAATATGTGTTTGTTTTGGTAAATTTTATAAACACCTTTCACTAATTTCTGATATTTAATCTAAACTATCGGCAGATTAAGCAATAATGAAAATAATTGTTAGCAACATTCATAATTAGTTCACTGACAGGCATGAAGTTGTTAATGTCCATCTCTTCCTTGATGCAGCACTCCCACCCTCCAGTCTCTGTGTATCTACAGCCTGGCCAACACTGAGGCTGGACAAGCAGTCGTCAATATCATGGGAGTTGGAGTGGACACCATAGATGTGGTCCTGGCTGCTCAGCCCAGCAGGTGAACATGTGCTCAGTCATAGTTTTTGCCTAAACCCTTCCATCTTTTCGACTTAAGACTAAGTGTGTTGTCATGTTTGGTAATTCATTTACATTTTCTTGTATTTTCTTCCCTGACGCCCTGCAGCTGTGGCTCAGAGGGTCCCGGTCAGGTCTTGATCCAGACAGTCAAACTGGCCTTCTCTGTCACAAACAACGTTATCCGTCTGAAGCCGCCGTCTGATGTTGTGTCCCCTCTGGAGCAGGCTCTGACACAGCATGGGGGCCATGGCAACAATCTTATAGTTGTCCTGGCCAAGTACATTTACCACAAACATGATCCAGCACTGCCTCGCCTTGCAATCCAGCTGCTAAAACGACTCGCCACAGTAAGACTCACAATATACATGTACAGTGTTTGCATTTGTTTTGGTGCAGTACTAGATATTCATGTTGATATTCATGTTTTGTCTCTAGGTGGCTCCCATGTCAGTATACGCGTGTCTTGGCAGCGATGCAGCTGCCATCAGGGATGCGTTCCTCACTCGGCTGCAGAGCAAAACAGAAGACATGAGGATCAAGGTCATGATCCTTGAATTTCTTACAGTTGCTGTGGAAACTCAGCCTGGACTCATTGAGCTTTTCCTCAACCTGGAAGTCAAAGATGGAAATGAGGGCTCAAAGGTATGACCCGCAGGGATATAGGTGGTAAATAAAAGGAAGTGTATATACTTTTAGTTGTGTGCAAACTGGATTCAAATCTGTTTTATTTTTTCAACTTGTAGGAGTTTCTTCTGGGTGAGTGGAGCTGTCTTCATGCGGTGTTGGACCTGATTGACTCTAAACAGCAGGGCAAATACTGGTGTCCCCCGCTGCTCCACCGAGCGGCCCTGGCCTTCCTCCTCGCCCTCTGGCAGGATCGCAGAGACAGTGCCATCTCTGTCTTGCGTTCCAAGTAAGCACTTTTCAGACAATCCTTACTTTGACCGGGAAAATATGTGCAACTGGATGCGTTGAAAGACTGAAAATGGACATTTGGTGAAAATATTAGGTTCTTTTTTTTTTTTTTTTTTTTTTTTTTTTTTTTTTTCTCTCATCATTGACAACACCTCTCTTCGCCACCCTCACCCCACCTTCAGACACCACAGAGGTATTTTGCTCTTTCGACACTAATGTAATGATTTCTTGAGTCGCTGGATGCCGTGTATCAGCTCAAGAATTGTATTTTGCCCTCAGCCTTGTGTTCTAGAGACGTGCGCTTTTGTCATGAAAATCATCGGCCTGGAGATCTACTATGTTGTCGGGTAACTTCAGAATCACTGATGTCACTGTTTATTACTTTCATTTACAGAAAAGGGTCCAGATCTCCAGTGACTGATGTTAATTGTGTTTGTTTCTGCAGTGGCTCCTTGGAGCAGTCTCTAAAGGACGGGCTGCAGAAGTTCTCCAACATGCGGCGCTATGAGTACTGGTCCCAGTATGTCAAGTCTCTTGTGTGCTATGTGACAGAGATGGAAGAGGAAGGCATCTGCTACCTGCCAGAGACCCAGATATTGATATCTGCTTGGCGGATGCTGCTAATTCTTTCCACTAGCCATGTATGTTAAATCTGGTTGTGGTTATATATTGGTACTGTATATTGTTGTTTAACAAGCTATATAATGTGTTAATTAGTCAGTCTTCTAGGTTCGGTTGTTATTTATTTATTTTTTTAATCAGGTAGACCCAGGCTAACGGTTTCCTATTGTTTCCAGTCTTTATGCTAAGCTAACCAGCTGCTGGCTGTAGACTCATTTAATGGACCCAAGAGAGCGATCTCTATCTTGTGATCAGACTCAGAAATGTTGAACTGCTGGACCATGTAGAACTCTGCCATGATCACAGCTGGCGTATTTTATGTTCTCAGTCTGGTGTGATGCAGCTAACAGAGGATTCAACCAAACTGAAGCTTTTCATGGACGTCCTAGATGGGACTAAAGCTGCTGTAAGTCATCATGACATTATTTTCTTGTGATTTATGTCTTCTCGTTGCTTTTTATTTCCTCTATTTTTCTTTCTTTTTACCTCTTTACTTTTGCCTACATTCTAACTTGTGTGTCTTTCAGTTAACAACACCCACGTCTGTGCCTTGTCTTCGTCTTGGATCCATGATGGCCACTCTTCTGCTCATCCTCCTCAGTCAGTGGAGAAGGTGTGTATTCCTGCATTTGACTAGAGTTTATACATTTCTTAAATGTCGACTGTTCCCACTTGATGTACTCTAAATCTTTCCCAGTAACCCTTGCCACACTTTTTCTGTCTCCAGCGTGGTAGCAACAGCTCCTGACATCCTGTCTCCCCTCTCTCTGATCCTGGAGAGTGTCCTCCAAGCTGACCAGCAGATGGAGAAGACCAAAGCCAAAATCTTCTCCGCTCTTATTTCAGTGCTGCAGATTCAGGGACTCAATAGTAAGAGATGTTTGTGTGTCTTTCCTGTTGTCGGTGTTTGAATAGGATGTTGCAGCGGTCTGTAGTTTATTCATTTTGTTAATTCATTTCTTTGTCAACCAGGTGGGGACATTTCCCAGCTTCCCCAGCTGCTGTCATGTGTGTGCGAGACGGTAAAAGATGAGGCCCTGGCACTCGCTGACAATACTCGTCGCCTAAACCAGATGGGTGACACAATGGAGGATGAGGACAGCATGGAGACAGACTCTCCCCGCGGCCCACAGAAGGACCAGAGAGACGGGGTGAGCTGAGGCAGGAAAGAAAGATGGAAGATTTGTTTGTAGATGACATTTCTCATTTCAAAAGCTTAGTTTGGTTCCACTTCATCTCCTTCCAGAGGAGCCAGAACAGTTTCATATTCAAGTCATCTCCACTATTTAGCTCCAGTCAGTAGTTAAGGGCAATCAGTTATTCATTACTGCCTTTTATTGATGTTTATTGTGAAATGAGATTATTTACACAAGGACAGACATTTCATTTTAGGCATGTCTTAATATCCACTTTCACGGCTATGATAGGAGCAACATCTTCACCAGCACTGGCCATATTTATGATCCTGTTTTATGTTAAACCAAGTGTGCGCACAACAATGTAAAACTAATCTTAAGTTAATTTTAGACCACTTTCTTCTTACTTCTGTTATCAGGTGTGTGTGCTAGCACTGCACTTGGCAAAGGAGCTGTGTCGCACTGATGAGGACGGTGAGCACTGGGTGTCTGTGATAAGGAAGGTTCCGGTCCTCCCCTCTGTGCTCAGCGCTGTGGAGCTCAGCCTCCGATGCAAACACAACCTCTACTTCACCGAGGCTGCACTTCACCTGCTGCTCACACTGGCCCGCACTCCTCAGGTAAAGGGAAACAGACACCCTCCTGCTTTGAGCCTTTGTGTGTTTGCATTAATTTAACATGTCAAATGTCTTGTTTTTCCTCCAGGGGGCAGCAGCCGTTGCTGGGGCAGGAGTCATCCAGACGATCTGCCTCCCTCTTCTTGGTGTCTATGAGGTCTCTTCAAACGGATCATCACAGGTAAAAGAAATGACATTAAGTCAGTCTCTTCACATTCATCTGTTCAAATTTAACATTGGGATGCAGATATAGAATAACATAGTATATCCATGTCCCTGAGCAGAGTTTCTCCCGCAAGTCCCAGGACTCTGCCTGTTGGCCAGGGGTGTACCGCCTCTGCATGTCCTTAATGGAGAGTCTGATCAAGACTCTGCGCTACAACTTCATCAACGAAGCCCTGGACTTTGTAGGAGTACATCAAGAACGCATACTGCAGGTATGACTGTAATTAACATTAACGTTGTAATATTCATTCTTTTAGGGCGGCACCCAAGATAATGTTCATCATCAATTAATCTGACATCTACAGAATGTGCTCAGTTAACTGGTTGATCTATAAAATGCTTTTCTCACTTTCCTGAATCCCATTTAGCTTTTGTCCATCTAACATCCCAAATACCCAAAGGTATTCAGTTTAATGATGCACTTTTGTGCCGCAAAAGAGTATAATAACCAGCGAATACTCACATTTGAGAAGCTGAAACCAGCATTTTGTTGTTTTGGATTTTTGTTTTAAAAAGTTGTGGATTGTTTTTGAGTAATTGTCTGTCTCCATTTGTCTTTTCTTTCTCTTTATAAGTCCTTACATCAATCAAGACTATTTGCTTTGTTGCACTGCTGCAGTGTGTTTCACTATGCAATACTTGTAGGAGAACCTGATGATTTTTGTTGATGTGGTGCTATAAAACTGAATTGAATTGAAAAAGAACTGTAGATGCTCACAAGAGGCAAAATGCCTCAACCAGTAATGAGACATTTGAAATTGGAGATCAAAAAAGGAAACAAGTATTCATTAGTGCCATTTATGCAGGTAACGTTCACACACCTGCATTGAGGTGTGCTCAGCAACTGTGGTGTCTTGGTAATGTGTTTTTCTGTATAATAGTATCACTAATCTTCCTGGTTCTCTCCTTTCTGCTGCTCAGTGTCTGAACGCAGTGCGAACAGTGCAGAGCCTGGCGTGTTTGGATGAGGCCGACCACACGGTTGGTTTCCTGCTGCAGCTCTCAAGCTTCTGTAAAGAGTGGCAGTTTCACCTGCCCAGACTGCTCCGAGATGTACAGGCAAGTCCAGAGGAAAGCTCCACATCGTCAGAGAGGAAAACACAACTCCGCTATTCAGCATTCATGGGTGTGGTGTTTTTTTTTCTTCCACCCAGGTAAATCTGTGTTATCTGTGCCAGACCTGCACGTACCTGCTCCACAGCAAGAAGATGCTCCATCACTTCCTCCAGGTCAGAACCCAGGGATTTTATTACTCTTGTATAATTTGGCAGTGATAGGAACCTAATACTTTTCTACCAATGAGACTTAACAGCGATTGTGTTTGTACATAAAGAGTTGTGAATGTAAAAAGGCATCTTTTCTGCCATGAGAAGTCTTTATGGATTCAGATAAAGAATGGCTTTGTTTTTTGTTGATTTTCTTAGACTAAAAACGGAGAGGCACTGCCCCCTGGTCCCCTACCCAGGACGCAGCGGCCCCCACAGACCCCGTCTAAACAGGCAGCAGGTGGTGGGGAGAGAGAGGAGGCCGAGCAGAAGGCTCTGCTGGCAGTGCAGTGCAGTCTGCTGAAGATCCTCAGCAAAACCCTGGCAACCCTGCAGCACTTCACACCAGACTGCTGCCAGATACTCCTGGACCAGGTCAGTCTGCTTGACCTTCTGTAAGAGTCCTCTGACTCAAAGATGAACCTCATTATTTATTTTCATCTTGGTGGTTAGCGTTGTATTTCTAGCTACATCTTAAGAGACTTGAATGAAATGCTGGTTTTCCTTTCTCTGTGTCAGTGTATGGACCTGGCAGAGTACAGGACCCTGTTTGTGCTCAGCTTCACAACTCCAGCGTTTGACCCTGACGTGGCTCCTTCATTTGGAACCCTGCTGGCCACCATCAACGTGGCCCTGAGCATGCTGAGTGAGGTACATGTCAAATGTTTTCACTGTAATCATGAATATCTCAGAGTTGGTGTGCAGTAGATCCTTGATTGTTTGTGTTTCTGTCTGTAGATGGAGAAGAAGAAAGAGCCAGTTTCCCTCAGTATAGCTTCACTAGCTTCACCAGAGGAGTTACAAGCTCTGAGGTGAGTGAAGTGAGACAGTTGTTCTGCTGCGGCAGTATTCTAATTAGACTTTCATCACATGGAAGATTATAATAATAGTTTTGATATTAACTTGTTGTTCTCTTTTCTTCAGGTCGTTGCTGATGTTCACCATGGAGAACTGTTTCTACGTCCTCATCTCTCAGGCTGTTCGCTGTCTCAAAGACCCCTCCATCCTCCCTCGAGACAAACAAAGGCTCAAGCAAGAGCTCAGCTCTGAACTGGTGAGACATCACATCTCTTTGCATGTCTAATCCCAAAACTTGTATGCTTTATTAATTCTGGTGATATTCTGTATTATTCCTTGAGCTGTCTACGGGTTGTTCTCCTGTATCTTAGAACCTCTAGGCCGGTCGTTTTTTAGTTAATATTTTCAACAGTTCCCATACAGCAGTGATTTGCCTCTAACTGTTCATTTCTGTCAGTCCTGGGTTAACTTTTTCGTCTGTGCCACAGACCTCCACTGCTTAAAAACACACTGCTGCACTGAGTGATGTGTCCTCATTACAAAACACCAGACCCCAATATTCTTTGAGAAATGTTGCCCCAAAGGCTCCGAACCTTAACATACTACAGCATCTCAAATTAAGCAAGAGTCAGCAGCACATGCACAAGATCTCAGGATTCTCTTAACAAATATGAGGGTCTTGTTTCATAATAAGGAAATAATGTCACCAAGTGCAGCAGTGTGTTTGATTATTTCTGAACAATAGTGGTCTATGGCACAGACGAATAAGCTAAACTGGGACTGGCAGACATCATCTGTGAGTAGGGGCGGTTCATTGTTGGTTATTGGAAATACCTTATCCTTTGGGAACACATTTCAGTTTACTCCTAAATACACTGTCCTGCTGCCATAAAACCTCACTAGAACACCAAATTTGAAAACAAAGGAACACTTTCCCTATTTGACCAGCAGTCATTTATATATATATATTTTTTTTTCTTAGAAAAGGGGTCTTAAGAGATTTAAAAAGTCTTGAATCAAAAGACTGTAATGGTAGTTAAATAATGCTTCTGTATGCAGTTGCTA